TAAGAAATGCGCGCAAACTTTTTTAATATTCAAACTTTAACACATAGTGAGTTTGTAAACCAAGAGAAAACTGCATGCGGCGTCACATTTTTATCACAAAACAAATTATTTAATTTTTTTGAGGAATGTTTTTATTTTCGGCAAAAATAAGTGAGATTGTAAAGTGTTAAGATAACAGACTTGGGAACCTTGATCCTTAAAATTGATAGTTCGTTCTGTAAAATTGGCTGTTCTCTCGTCACGACATGCTCGTTTGTCGCGAAGGAAGGAAAGTCTATCTCCTCGTAATGAGCTGCGGCAGCTTCGGACAACTTATCGAATTTTTCTTGCTAACCTACTTTTTAAACCGTATCACTTACTGCAGAAGAAACACCGCAAAGACTATGTCGATTCTCTAAGAATGTATATCAAATTTTAATAATGGAAAATAGTGCGTTTGTTGTTTTATTAAAATCGCATAAAATAATTTCCAGTTTCTCAGGAGCAATATAGCAAATATAATGAAATGGTAATAAATTTTTAATAAGAGAAATTTATTGTGTTTTGCTCTTATGAAAATTTATATTTTTTCATAATCATAAAAGTTGAGTATCAATAAAGCCAATTTTTATATTATGAAAATACATGTCGGAGTATTAAATTCTAAAGTAAGCTACGATAAGGACGAGCAAAAATTTCAAGGGAAGCGTTAAAAGTGTAATTGGTAGGAGAAAAAAGAAACTTATCAACGTAGAAGCTAATTTAACCTTTGCGGTCGGGTCGATATATTCAAGTCACGGTGGCTGGAATATTCAGGATTGAGATCACAAAGAGTTAAAAAAGTTCTGAATTATTAATTGTACACTGAATAATAATCTAATGTATTGCGGTGTTATTAGTATTTTAAAGAATTGACACAATTAAAGTTCAATTCTCCTTGATTCCAATTATTTAATTACTTGTTTGATTGCAAAATGTCCGTTGATTATAGCAATAATTTTTTTCATTTTGAAAGTAGAAGTCGCGTTTCCTCAGGCGAGACCAGGGGAAAATTTCAGAATGAATCCCTATAAAGGAACTTCTTCTGTCGACAAAAGTACGGCAAGAAGACTTCCCGTTAAACTAAGTTTATAACTTTAGAAGAGCCGGTGGGAAGGATGTCGGCTTGCGATCTTTGCAACGTTTTTAGGAGCGTATTATCTCGATGAATATTTTCATAATCACAAACGAACTGCCACGTCAGAATACACACCGCAGTTAGTTGGATATTAATGATGAAGAAATACGAAGTGATTTCTTTCTACTCTTCTTTTCGTATCAGTTGACAAATCTTACATTACTTTTTTGCATAGCGTGACATGTTTAAATGAAGTTAATTGGAAAAGATTATTTAATAAAATTATCCAATAAATAATTATGTAATACAAGATACTTTCGACCATCTTTAATTTTAATAATAAACTTTACGGAAATTTTGCGCAATCATAAATTATTGCAACTTTTTAATGCTCAGCATTAAACAGATTGGCGATTAAATCTCGAATTAAAATTTTGAGAATAATAAGTCTCATTTTATGTTAAGCAAATGATAAGATTGTGTCATTTAATTACTTTGCAGAAGTTTAATCCGCAAAATTGCTTTCGTTTTCCATCGTTCATAACTCGAAGAGCATTAGTATCTTGACATTTTAGCGAGGAGAAATTGAAGTCAAAGTGCTTAAGAAATATGCCAATAAAATTAAGATCTTAGCAAAGACGATTGGCGGGGAAAATAATATATTTTAATAAGACCAATTAATAATTTTAGCGGCGTCTTTTTACTTTCGAAATAAACGTATTCGCAGCTCGCAGGCCGGTTGAAGATAACGCGATCAATCGCGGCGCCGCTTTATCGCTTTTTATTGACATTACTATCGGAATATTGAGCTCGCTAATAACTCGCCAAGGAGTGGCGACAGCTGATGCGCCATCGGAGTGGCTGCTCCCTCGTGAAGAGGAGAAGCAGAGAAGAACGCACCGCGGGGGGGGGGAGGGGGCGGTGGCGCAGAGGCACAAGCTGCACCGCAATAAACCAAGGGGTGAAATCGGTCTTGGAAGTCGATTATTCGCTTTCCCCAAAGAGAAGAAGGTAGGCGGTTGCGAAAGGTTCGCCTTAATCTGATTAAATACGTCATTCTTGGCCGCGCTGTTCTACAATAAGTTAGCACGAGGCAAACGCGAAGCCGGTGTTATCGATCTCGGATTGACGCCAGCTTGTTTCGCCTTGCGGTGGCAACGTCTCTCCTAAATGACGATTAGACCGTCGCCGGCAATAATCGTCTACCTTCCGTCCCGTCCTCTTCACGCGACGCACAATAATGCCGATGACTGGGATAAAAAAATAATATCGGGATCATCATTAATTCAATGGAGCATCGCTCTATGATAAAGGGAAGGATCATAAATTACGACCTGCAAAAATTGATCGCGGAGGAAAGCAAAAAATCGACTACATCGGTGGAATTTATAGGGTCCGGCAAGTCTTCGCTTAATCGCTTACCTCAAAATATATTAATAGCAAATTGTTCAAGAAAAAAAGACAATTATTTTATTATATAATAAATACTTCGCGTGCAACAAACTTTTGAAGAATGCGTTTTCCTTCTTGGAATCTTTCAAATATTGGAATACTTTAATAGTAATTATTGTCATTCTATAAGAATTGATATTTATTATACAGAATATTAATGAATACTGATAAAAATATGAACTCACTTTTTTGTGATTTTATTAGGAACATACTCATAATTATTTGGATATTAATTTTCATCGATAAAACAAAATTTATATACGAAATAAAGATCAAAAATAGATGGAGAAGAGTGTGTTATCGAGAAATCGTTACTCACTGTTGCAATTTGAAGTCAGAGACACAAAAATTATATAATACGTTTTTACTGCACAGATCTCGTCACACATAATTCCATTCGCACGCCCGTCAAATCGTGGAGATTGCATTAGCGTGGAGATTGCATTAGCCCAAGACTGCACTCCGTACGATACATTAAAAATATTATCGTCCACTCTCTCGTCCACATTAATTCCCTTGTGTTTGCATTATGAAAGCAATGGCCAGACGAACATTATTTTTTTTCATAGCGGTCATATAAAAGAGAAATATTTTTTTTACAAACAACATTGATTTCGAGCTTTAGACAATGCAATATAAGTTTTTAAAATAGCAGCTATTTGTTATATGAAATAACTGTGGTGCGTTTTTGAATCGGTCGTAAAATTGTCTTTCCTTCTGTAAAATTTTGACTGTTATTCTTCTCGTGATTTTTTAATTTTCAATAATAATTTTGCTTTTAAGCCCCGAATTTTAAAACAAAGTCCATTTAAAATTGTATGAAATATGAACGTTCTGTTATTTCCCTCCATGCTTGAGATTTAAATTACGAATCTGAATTGAACTTTTCATTTTCCCATTTCTGACAGTTGAAACCGCTCTTCGTTCATCAACCTTCGCTCTTTAGTTCCGTGAATGCACCGATCGAAAGCGGAAGTTAAATCAGGAGAAACTTCCTGTTCGCGTTTCCAAGAAACTGGTGGTCGATTACAATCTCACAACACGAACATTTGCAATTATGACTAGCAGTTTCAGTAGACAATACCACGATTCATGCGCGACACGCTTTTTGCGATTTTCTCCTCGCTTTATAAGAGGATCACTAATAGTGTTCATTAGCACACTGAAAGATTAATGCCACTGAAAAACTGCTAAAAGAATCATTGCAAATGCCATCTTTCAAATACAAAAATTAATACTAAACAAATTTTTTTAGTAAAATATATTACAAAATATCATATAAAATTATTAGAAAATTATATTATTTATTTAATATAAACGATTTCATTGTAGATAACGTTTTAATATAAGTTATAATTTTTATTATTATACAGAAATATTTTATTACAATTGCATTAGCCGAATTTCATAATTTTTAAAATCTTCCCGAAATATCGCTTCTCTCTAATAATAAAATTGATATTTGCAATATTTTTGAAAGAAGATTGAATAAAATGAATTAATTTAAAATTATTCAAACTTGAACTTTGGCTTCTGCTAATATAAATTTATATCTTTGCAATTTATTTTTCTTTGTAACTCTTTATTTTTTTTTTTAATATCCAAAACAATCATACTGCATACGTTTTTTGATATTACGCATCAATCATGCATTACTGCGTACATGTTTGCAAGAGTGACACACTTTAAGCGTTACTTAAGTATTCTTACTTTTTTTCATACTATCGACAAGGCACAGTTGCTTTCGAAACGGAGTTACTATTATCAACTGTGGAAATATCCGTAACTAAATAAATAGTACTTTCATTAACTACGTTCAACATATTTGTTAACAATTCGAGGGTACTATTATGTACTTTGACGCATCGCAATAAATCAAGGTATATAATTAATTCAAACTGTTTGCTTGTTGAAATACCTTTGATTAAGGCAGGCATTAATTTGAAGTATATATTTCGACAAATACTTGAAACATTATTGAGTGAGAGATAATATTTGCTTTTTCAGTTTATTTTCCAATTATTAAAAACTCCCAAGTTCTTTATATGGAAAGAATACAGGATCAAAATTTTAATTTTTTAACGAAGTTTGAAACATTTTTACAATTTTTTCTACCATTTAATTAAAATTTCACTTTTTATTCCAGGTCATAAAATTTCATATATCACTTTTAAAAAAGCACTGTACATTCATGAACTATGTGAATACATAATGTTAATGTAAATGGAAAGATATAACGCTAGTGATCGATAAAACTTGTCCGAAAAAATCGTATATAAAAGTAATAAATTAACACGCGCTGCTTGGAGATGTTTTCGGAACAAAATGCACTCTTGAATATTGAATTCGATTAATTTAAATAACTTAGCAATAGTTTTTGAAATTATCGCAAACAGTTTGAAAAATCTTTAGAAATTACAAAGCAGTATAGAAAGAACATAATGGGACTTACGTGACGATTAGGAATCGCTCGCTCAGGATCTCTTTCAAAAATAACAGCCGAAAACGTGGAGCAACTGTGACAAGCAGTGACGCGAAAAAGACCGTCCTCAAACCGACGACGAGACGGCACTAAGCGCGTCGGACGCAACGCTTGGCACCTACTACTGCGAGTCGGGCCGAGCGACTTTCGAGGAGTCTGCGCGGCGTCGTCCGTTACTACTAGCCGCCCGCGGACTCTACAAGTCGCACTTTTATCACTTTTTCCGTGGTTTTTTCTTATTTCTTCTTTCCTTCGCAGCATATAGAATATTCCGTTGTAATATACATCAGTATTTTTGATTATTAAGAAAGGAAATTTAATTCTTCGCAGTCCAAACCATTTTCGATAAACGAATCAATATTAACTATCTTTATTTTAATATTATCAACAGTATATTAACGTAAAATGATATTAAAATTTTATTATTTGAAGAAAGTTCGACGAAATATAAAAAATGTGGTTTATTAATTATAATCGTGCTGCAAATATTTTGGAGAATAATACGGGAAAAATTCGCGTGAAACATTATTTTGAATCCATCATTAATTTGTACGAAAATATTTTATTTTGAAATTATTTTTCGCAATCAATCTTGTGGATGAATTTATCGATGTATAGTTAATAATCATACAAATGTAAACAAGGTGTAAATGAGGAATCATGCAGAAATAGCTTTGTGAATAGTATCTAGTAAAGCAGATACTTTGAATACATGATTCTTTCCTCAAACTTTGTCGGTGCGGTTTGCAAAAGTTCGAAATTACACTTTGAAGTTTTTGAGGCGAATATTATTTCCGGATGATAACCTTTCAACGCAATCATCAACTTCTCATTTCGGATTGCGGATTCTATGCTGCAGTGAAACACATCGAAAGCTTTGTAAGTTGCTCAAAGTTCAAAGGGAAACTTTTCGAACAGAAGTTCTCTCTCGTTGACAATTGAGTAACTTCTTCTACAGCTGCCGAGAAATAGGTTGCACGCGCAAGTAAGCCATTAATTTTCCATCAAATACATGTGCGATGTTCTATTAACGATGATGCACGCAATGCATTCGATAGAAAGCTTCTGTAAAACTGTATTAAGTGTATTACTAAATTAACTGTATTACCAAACTTTCTACTTTTGAAAAATTCTCAAGTATCGTAATTTAAATCTACGAAGTGAGACAATATATTCGAAATGTTTTAAAGTAAAAACTTTATTAAGTTCAGTTTATTTTCTTACATCATTGTCTTTATTATTTAGCTACAATATTAATCACAATTTCAAAGATGAAAACTATATCGTAGATTAGGATGTGATTCTTTTATTATACACGATCTTTCGTATAATACTTAAACAAAAAAAAATTTTTGCGCAATTTCTTTACCGACTAAAATTCATATTTTAATAAAATTTAGTCGGTCGCGTTGAAGATGTTAGCGTGAAACCTTGATAATAGGCGGTTGCTCCTTCCGTCTTGCGGTGCGGTGGTTTACTTACGTAATAGTTTACAACATACCAGCGGCTTGCAACTTTGTTGACGGTGTAATTACCAGTCTTTGTTCAGCGGTTTCGCGTCGCAAGTTGACCGTACAGAGCTGCGCGCCGCTCGCAATCATTTCGTGATTGAATTGCTGCTGCGAAAAAGGATCATTTATCACGGGTATCATGATGAATCGATGGGGTGCGAGCATTACTTCAACGATAGATCAAGATCGGCTGCGGCTGTCACGTCGAGCACATGATATCGTGAGGTAACGTCGGCGAAATAACACACACGATGTTGCTTTAGTCTATCATCGTTTATTGTATAAATATATCACCAAATAATATTATGTAGTAAGATTGCGTCTGCGTAACGCGAGAAAGAATGCGATAGAGATCGAACGGAAAGGCTATCGTAGGGATAAAGAAAAGGTGGACGAAAGGAAAGGAAAGGGAAGGCGGGAGAACTTAAAAAAATAATATATATATATATATATATATATATATAAATCGTATTTCTGCACCGGGAAGTTTTCATGACGCAAGCAAGGAAAGCCGTATATTCTCTTGGCAGAAGCAACAAAATAAGTGGCAAATCACCCGCCATACTTCTACTCGCGCAGATCGAATGGGTAGGAAAAGTAGGTATCGTAAGTTCGATCCTGAGAGCTTCATCGTCACGAGTGCATTCGCTCTTTTACATAATATAGTAAAAATATATCTCTTCGATTCCTAGGAAATATCATTATCATCATCAGCAGTATCATCATGATCATCATCGTCATTTATTATTAATATCAACCTCAATTAGCTTATGTATCACTAGAACAATGGAAAATTGTGAACGCACCTTTCTTTTACAAACTACTCCACAGCTTCGAGACTATAGCTTTAAGACGAATTTTACTTTTAATAGCTTTTACTTAAAAATTTTTATCTTTAAAGCCTAATAAATAGTGCTTCACGATATTAGCGTTGATTTAATAAACTTTTGAATCTTTTTGTTATGAAAATAACGTAATCAAGTATAGAAAAATGAAATTTTTCAACTGACATAAAGAAAATAAAATTTATTAGAGCTATGCTCTCGAACGCAATCCGGAGAGTTTTACCTTTCTGCTTACTCGATGAATCCACAGGTAAGAGAAGGCCTCATCATTTTGATTCTTTGATCACACGCGCTTTCTAACAACAAACAAAATCCATGTCGGGCGTTCACACGATTTCCGAATTGATCGAATTGCACCATTTTATTATGCGCTTATTATGCCTAGTGAAATAACGATTAATCTACGATTTCGCACGTGTCTTATTCGATTTTGCGCGTGCAAGCCGTTCGATAAGATCGACAACTCAGTTAAAAACGCAACAAGAATTATTTTATCAACTAAATAATTATTTTACAATATAAATCACGATTAAACACAATAATTCAAGTGTTTCGCGAGAATTTCAAAAATATTAAAAGGGTCTTTACAATTTCGTTTCTCTATACGTTTCAGTACAAATTTACAATTCAGTAAAAATTTTCGCAAAATATTAACAATTTTTACATGATTAATTAATCGTCGCATAAACTTTCGGATAGATTAGCATCCCCTCGAAAAACTAACTCGAGGCAAAGAAACTTTCCCTCACCCGAAGGACTCGGGCACAACTCTAAAAATATATACATCGTTTTCCACTTTGCCTCTTACACCTTTCGCCTTTCTTTCTTATATGGCAAGTACGGAATTATTCGTTGCTCGAACTTTCGTAATCCAACAAGTGAAAGAACAAAACAAGAAAAGAAAGAAATAGGACAAGTGTGGTTCCACGCGCGTGTGCGTAGGTTTTAGTTCGTCCGCTCGCGCACAACGCCGAATGCGATTCACTGCTGTCAAATTACTCTGTCGTGAAACTTGTACGTGATGTAAAAATGAAATAAGTATCGGACAGTCGCGTTTGGCGCTAAACGCGCGATGGGAACGTGCGCGTTGTTGCTTTCTCCTTTTGGCGACGAGGAAAGTCAATCCGGAGAGTGCTTCAACGATGGCGTAACGATCGTGTACGACTAATAACATCTTGTAACAACGACGGTATGATCATTGTTCATATACGATATAAGGTATTTGTTAAAAAGAAAATTCAACAATGCCAATGTGCTCAACGCGTATAGGCCTGTTCACAAATAAGATTATATCGTGCGCAGCATCAGTAGTAATACATAAGTAGTTATACATTTCTAAATATGTCTAAAAAGTGCAATAGAAAAAAAGAGGGAACGTGTCTCAATATACATTATGTAAGAATGTAATACACATTTTATAAAATTATTTTCTTTTTACAAGATTTCGCGTTATATTTTCTCTAAAGAGCAGCTTATAGAAGAGCAATTGCTCGGCGAGCTGGGATTCGATTCTCGGTTTTTCTTTTTAATCGAGAATCAAATCGAGTCTTAACTTTTTATAAAAATTTATCTGAAAGCAAGTTCAATTGATACAATTTATATAAATCTTCTGCGACAGTTGTGTCATGCAGAAAAATCCTTTACCTGCTTATTATGTCTATCATATTAAAAACTAACTATTGAGTATAAAACGTGCAAAAAAAAAAAAAAGTTCACTGTGTCTCGATGCAGAGTGATGCATATCAAAATTTCAGATAAACGTACGCCACAATCATTTCGATTTTATTGTTTATTTTTTTTTTTTTTTTTTTGGACATATACTCTATGATATATATACTCTATGATTATATACACTATGATTATATACTCTATGATATAAATATTATAAACTGTACTTGATAATGTATATTCAAATTCAACTTCGATATGGCATATCTTCCGATGTGAACAGACCTTGAAGCGTCGACCAATGCGTGCTGAATGCGACCGCCTCGATTGGTACTCAATCCCACGGCTTTCCTCCCGATCGGATATCCTTTTCTCGTCGATCACAGATAATTGCCAACCGGCGAAGGCTGCAATTATACGCCGACTCTCACAATTTGCTCGCCAATAATTGTAAATGCAAGACGATCTTTTTAAAACGCGACTTCCTCTCGGGACTTGAATTTTTCAGGGCTTAAACGGCGATGATATTGCGATTTTAAAGGAGCGCAATTTCATCATTCGAGTGACTGACTTGAATTCCTATGGCTCGATCGTCCTAATGCTTCATACGCTTCGCCGATCCGCAATTTAATTTTACACTTCGTGTCGCTCGAAAATTTCGCGAACAATATCCACGCAAGCCCTGGATCTGCGGCTTGTTGGAGTTAGTATCCCACCATCGGCTGCCAGCCACCGGTGATATCGTCCCGACGGTAGTAATGAGGTCTATTATCTCGGAAGACGGTGACGGCCGGAAATTGATTTTTCTGGATGTACTTGAGCGTCGCCCGCACCTGAAATGGAAATTTCATCGCTGTTTACTTAACTCGCGCAGATAGATTTGTCTAGTTCTCGATATCTTATAAATTGTTAACTTCAACCGTGTTCTCCACTCGTTTCCACTTTTAGCTTTTATTTTCACGATGGCGATTAATAACGATTATGACAGCGTGTAATATGTGTTCTACCTGCGATACGAAATGCGGCTGTTCTACTTCCGGTGACGTTGACAAATGCTGCAGGATGAATTGATCGGATTGCTCCAGCCAGAGATCCACGCCACGCAGGGGATCGTAATTAAACGGGCCGATTCTAAGTAATCCACTATTGTAGTCGTATATATCCAGAACCTGTGTGCATATAGACACGATCGATGTCGCATAATCCGTTTCGTGCGGTGCATTGAATAAAATGCGACGTCGCGCTTAATTAAAAGCCTATTCTACTGCATATTGGCCACTATGGCATTGCCAGAGTGCGAATATCGCACGCACCTGCTGACCCCCGGTCAATTGTCTGGCGCACCTTAGCGCCTGATCCGGGCCTTTGTCGGGGAAAGTCGCGGGAAAGATCTCGCCCGTCTTTACGTTCAGCCCGATGCCGTAGATCACCGGCCAGTGAATCCCGCCTCTCACGGTGGTGTTCAGCTCGCCCACGCAGCACAGCGTCAGGTCGATTTCCACCGGTTGCTTGTGAAACGCGGCTGAAAGACGAGATCGGTCCATCAGATCGGGCTCGGTGATATTGCGATTTTATTTTAAGGATTGCTCGCGGTCAAAAAACTCTTCCGAGTGATACAACGTTATCGTGCGAGTGAAGTTTGACGCACTAATTTTTATCATAAATATTTTCCCCGAGAGATTTCACTCCGACATATATTTAGTTTTACTCTCTTTATCTTCCTGGTTTATCACGAGCAAAGCGAGCAAATAATTTAATTCGCTATGCTCGCGAACGAGATAAGACGAACGTTAGCTATCCTCGCCGGTTATTTCCGGATGTGTGAGTCAAAGATATTTTTCTTCGGTAAACAAATTTCAATGCGCTACTCATTTACGGCGACACTGTGTCAGAAATACATTTTTACGTACAAAGTATAGCGAAGAATAATGGATCGGAATAATTCCTCGGGTCGGAGTAGCCGCCGACCAATTGTAGCTCCAAGCGGCCCTGGGGATTAACTTCGAGGGCGAGTTCCGTTACCCTCTGGATCATCGCCGCGGCAGCATCCGTTGTTCCAGAGCCGTCAAGATGCGCCAGTGCTGCGGCGCCTGAACCTAAAATCAAAATATCACATTTCAAACTCTTCTCACAATATTAAAACCAAGCGCGAGTCGTTTGTTTATGAAATATATCGGTGATTCAAGTGCCTTTTTCTTCAATTAATATTACAGTTAAACATAAAATATATATGTTTATATATATATTAATAATAAATGTTCGCGAATTAGTCCCAACGTAATACCAGATAAATTTCTTATTTCATTACTTTTATTATTATTTATATTATTGCCTGGTAAGATTTTACAGTCTGTCACTGCATATCCAAATGAAAATTTGCGCGCTATTATCTTCTCGTGATCGTTACGCTTCTTCCTTTTAGAAAGAAAACATCGATTAAGAGGGAAATTAATTTTCGAGCGTTTAAACATCCGGCTACTGGCTCGCTAATTACCACGGCATATAGTAATTACCGCGAGCGAGCCGGCGTATACCGTTTATTGCATCAAGCGATCGAAATGGCTAGAAGCGTTGCACCGCGATGCGCTGAAACGATCAGTGCAGCATGGTAGGACGCATCGCGCCTCGAGCGTCGATCTCGGCTCGCTCGGCGCGATTTATCGTCTCAACGATAAGAATTGAGCAGAACAGAAAGCGGTAGTTGGAATACGCGAGTCGATCTTGTAACGTTGAAGCGGATTTTCTCGGCGATTCTGAAACATTATAAACCTCTCGTATTCCCGTCGCACACTTAGCACAAACGCGTGAAATATATCGCTGACCGTATAATTAATTTGAAACTTTTCGGTAATTAATTTCAAACGCTTATCCGATTGTTGCGGAAAACGTGTTGCGCGCGTAAAACATCTTGGGGTGGATGAGGAAAACTTGATAAAAAGGATTTTTACACCGCAAATGGTTACTTAATTACGTACTTTCGAAGTCGCTTTCTACCTCGGCCATTATTCACGCGCAACCTTCGCGATCGGAGACACCCAGCTTGCGTCGCGATGCACTGTCGCCGCAGGAGAAAGCTAAGGAGAACGTATCCGATAGTTTTGTCGAGAAATATATCCACAGTATGGACAGTAGGATGTGATGGGCAACGGAGCTCCGAGATTCATACTCGCTATAAACAGTTATAAATGTCGAGCCGAAGAAAACGGAAATAAGAGCCATGTAATAATTTTAATAAATTTTTCGTGTCCACGAGGATGCTAAATCATAGCGATGTCACTTAAGTGTCCAAATGCTTTTTTGCACTTGTATAGTTTTTTTCATCACAATTGATGATATTTTTTTATCACATATATAATTAAAATATCTTTTACACTTTTATATTTGTACTTTCGGTATAAATCTTCTTTTTTTTCTCAAATGTACTTTGCCAGTATTGCGTAACTGTTTCGTAGAAAGTCGCGCCAGCAGCTTGTTTTCTAAATTGTTTTCCAAACCACGCGATAAATCGCAACTATTTTCTCGAAGCTTTTCAACCTTGAATATCGTAGAATCGATATAAGGCATTTAAATGACTTCGTGATATAAATGCGACTTGTCAGCTGAATCAGCATTTTTTCCGCCGAGTTCGAGTTAGCCGAGTAGCGGAACTGGTTCTATTAAGTTGCTAATCTTTTCAAAAGAAGTGGTGTCTCGCATTTTATGCATTACGTTAATCGTTATATCATGAAAGAGTCAACGATCGTGCGAACGAGAAATAAATCCATTGTACGCCTGGATAAAAGGGAATAAAAAGCGGTATAACGGAGAACCGAGATGATCACGAGAGCGTCACAGTTCTCGATTTAGTGATATTTTTTAAGGATTTTTTGCTCGTTAGCTGCGCAACTAATTTATAGTCCCGAAGTAATCAAGCCTGCGATTGGAGATTTTTTTTTTCCTTCGACATTTCTTTAACTATTTCTCTTCTTTTATTCAGAAACTTTATATGCTCCTATGTCTCTCTCTCTCTCTCTCTCACATAAATTTATTCTAATAATTTCACAAATATCTAAGAAACACACATTGGTTTACTACTTCAATTAATTTTTCACTTTAAATTAATATAAAGTTTATTTTATATTAAAATCAGGGCAGACTTTCATAATTATAAGTGATTGAAAACAAGAAGTTTTGCGCAAATTGAGTTTCTGACATGCAGTCAAACAATTTTAGTAACTTTCTTAAAAAACTTCAATTAAAAGTTTTCTTATTAAGGTATACATATAACGTTTGACATGAAATCTTGTAACAAATAAGGTTTCCATATTTTTCTTAAGGTTTCATTAAAGGATTTATCATGAGTATCAAAATCCGTAATATTGAGATATTTTATACGTAAGTTCTGCAGACGATAATTAAAGACCCGAGATTTTTCATCGCGATACCAATCGAACAATTGCGCTTCATCGTTATTCCGACCTCATTTTTTCACCGGTTGCGCCGCGAGTCATTTGTATGCAATTATTTTATAATGACCACGATTGTACTTTCAAATATACTCACCGGAATGCCTGACGACAACGATTATGCACGTAGTCATGTCGTCCGAACCGAGGATGCTCACATTCTCTATGAAAAAGAAAAGAAGGAACAGTTAATGCGGTAGTGCGAGCGAATAAAATAAGTAACAGAAAATAAGAAACTTTCCATGATTATGTAAAATGAGTTCTTGTAATTTTCTGACATATCTGTATCTCTACAGATTGTTATTTTATAAAATACTTTTAAGATTCTTTACGTGCGTGATTTTTGTTGTTTTATGTTGCAAAAGTTACAAAGTCAGAACAGATAATTGAGAAAAAATTTGCTGTTTTGCATTTGATATTTTTAACACAAAGTGCCAAGACCATGAGAACAACGATCGCTTTCTATGCAATATTCTTTTTAATACGCTGATGATAAAGATTGAAAAAGTTAATATGTTGAGAAAAAGATCAAACTGCTACGATGCATTATTAAATTTCTTAAAATTTAACGAAGCAACGCTGAAAAGATACGCTTCGCAAGATTTATCGCAGCATTATTATTATAGCAATGACAAATCCTTATTATTTTTAAATATTATACCAGCGAAACAAATCTTTAATTTACTGTTGGTTCGATAACAGGCGAAATAACGCTCAACATCCGTTGATTTATCACTGTTTTCTTTTTTATTTTCATAATTAAGTTATAATCACAGCTGGCCGGGTGGCGCGTTGCGTCAATCTCGCGATATCGCAGTAAAAGTTGCCGGTAACATAATTCGATATCTTGTCGGAAGATAACGCGGAGATCGCGTGGCTTTATTGCATCAGTATCGTGGCTCTCCGATAAATATCACCAGATTGTTTTTCGTAAGGATTTCAGTCATTTCTAAAATGTTTACTAATACAATATTTCTCTAATTTTAGCATATGTCCAATTGCTCTGTATCTTAAAAATAAGAAGGGAAAAATTGTAGGAGAAAATATCGTTTTTATAATTTAAAAAATACCGTTTTTATAATCACAAAATTATTTTACATTATATACATCATCTCTTTTCCAACAGAGAGTTTTTGAGATACGCGACCAGATCACTTCAGCTGAAACATGTTTGGAGGCTCCATGTGTTTATCTAACACGTGTTTTCTCGAGCTTTAATGACTACAAAATCGCTTAGAGGCGATGATGTTAATAAATTATATGATAACATAGAAATCGTCTATACAACTTGTTATATCGCGAGATGATTTATTCTTAGAAAACTCGTCTCATGTCAGACGAGCCGTTTCTTGTGGTGCCGCAGCACCATTTATAACTCGCCATCGTATGAAAATGTTTCGTCTACACGTACGAGGTAAATGTTCCACTGGCCATATATTAACGAAACAGTCATTATTTAATATTTATAATAATCGTAATTTTATTTTATTTCTGTTAAGTGAAGTTAAATTTTTATCGCGTATACGAAAAGGTAAGAAAGATATCATTTGGGCGGAAAAAGTTGTATCTTCAGTAGCGATTAGAGTCTCATATGTCCGGTCACTAGGATATTTGCCTTACCTAAGTGTTTTTATACTAAGCTGCGCGTTGCAAAAAGCAGCTCGTTCGAGAGTACGTTGTACTTACTGTCGTGCGGCAGAGTCGCAGCCATTTCTCGTTGCTGCACATAGAGGAGGCCCACCGGGCCTACGAGTTTTGCCGGCATCGAGTGCAGCTGGATCGCGCTCTCGCGGTATACCGGGTGGGCCGCGTATAATAACCTGCTCTCCACAAAGATCTCCTCCTGCTGGACCACCCCGCCCACCACCAGCACCATCCTGCGAAATACGAGAACGATATTGATCGCACTGAAATGTGAAATGTTTTTTGTGTTCCGATCGTCACGGCTGAACAAAGCTACACATGCGTTGCACATTAAAGTAAAATCGATTCTACGAAACAATATATTCACGAGCGGTCGTTAATTTATGCCAGCGGCGGCCATTCTCTGATTGATTTCCATTTGATTCTTCGATTGAATGACACGTGCGATCTTAGAAAAAAATACAACGCACAAGATTTCCTATCGAGCAAAGTTCAAATATATGCCCAGAAAATGTGTAGAAAAAACACATATTACGTATGGAAATCGTAACACATTCTCATTATTCTAAATAAAAAAACCGTAACAATAGAACGTTAAAAATTCTCCGGGAAAACGTGGTTTCTTATTGTTTAAAACGGATATACTCCCTCTCGAGTCATTTGTAAAGTAAAGTGGCGCGGCACATGTGATCTCGCGTGATAAATTATAACGGGCGGATCGTTAAAATTAATTTACGGCGACCGTAAAGCAAGGTAATTGTCGTGCAACGCAACAGGCGGGTGTTGAGCGTCATGCGCAGTTAGCTTATCGAATATGAATTCGTCTGAGCGGAAGAGAACGCCTTCGGCCTCTTTCAATCGTCACAATGAAGTCCTCGGGTATATCTGGACGCGCGATCGAGGCTGGGTATTGTGTGACAAAGCCGGTTACACGATTGAGAGATACGAAATACCGGGTATATTGTCGGCACCGTGCGCTCGTGTTAATCGTGTTAACAATCGCGATAACAAAACTCTAAGCCGTCGGCTTACTTCGGTTGAGACTGAGCTTTACCCTGCGACGTTATCCACTAGTATTACGAACGGCTTTACTCGATATTGAATGACATTGTGCTGAAGATTAGAAAGTCTTCGGCGCGAGACGAGTCATGCGATTATCGAATAGCGCAAATTGTACATTGAATACGAAGTTTCTTTCTGAAAAAACAAAGATTGCTTCCGGAGTTTACATATCATTCTACTTTTTTTCATATTTTAATTACTAAATTTTCTCGAAGGGCAAAGATGCGCGACGGCAATTAGTAACTATATATTGGGTTGAGTCGTAACTTCCATCCCAATAAAAAATACTTATCTAAGAAACAAAAGTTATTTATGATTCAGTCCAGTTAATTAATGCTTTTATATTTTATAACGCACTCTCTCTCTCTTCCTTTAAATTATGCAATTATAACATGACAATGCTTATCGTGTGAAAAGTGTTTGCAATTCTTTTGTAATAAATATTAAGATTAATTTATGTAATTAAAAGAATATGTTCATTTTATGTGAAAAAAAATAGCACATAAGGTATATTAATTGCGCGTCCATCTCTTTACAACATGGCTTCTTAAGTCGCGGTATTAATTAAAAGATCGACGCTTCGTCGATCAATTAATAAAGTCTTGACGGTAATCGTTGCGATCTTTCTTCGATCCTGGCTGACCATTCGAGAGTCCGGAAGGATGACGTGTCAGCGCGGATCTTCTTTTATTAATTAATAAAAATTGAAACAGGTTCCGAGGGGGATTGTGCGCGGTTAGCTTGAGAATAATCGCTAATTATATCGGCGGCGTTCGCAGAACGAACGCCGTGAGAGATATGAGACTTTCGCAAAAACTCGTCGCAGCATCCTCGTGCGCGACGCGATTCGTGGCAAGGACTAAAATAGATCTTGCGATCCACATGTCGTGCCTGCAGCTGCTTCTGCGAATGCAAAAATACGCGATGGCGAAGCTGCGTCTTTTGTATTCCTTCTCTAATTGAATTATACTTAATTCGATTCCACGATTTTTCTTACATGCAATTCTATTTTCTTGTAAAAAGTTTAATTATCATAGACATTTTTCAATTATAATCCTGCAATAAAACGTCTGCTTATCATAATAGATCTTTTAGCTAATTGTTAAGAGATGTAGGAACGTATAAAGGATTATTAATTAAGAAATGTGTGCAAACATGAGCTTTATACGCGCTTAAAATAAATCTCGCTTTGCATACACGAGCGGTTGATTTTACTTAAATGTCTGTCCCTCGTAAAATTTGTAATTATATCTCACGGCGCCGCTCTAGAAATGAAGGAACAGAAAATTGCAGTCGGGCAGCAACTTACTCGCAAAACCGTGTGCAATGTACATTGCTTTCGGTATTAAGGAGCACGGTACTGTAATCCAGATGAGATAATTGCATGTTTTGTATTCGGTGGAAATATCGCGGCTTAATTATACGGCGTGCGACATGGGATGCATACCGCTCCGTTGCTCGCGCGGATACTCCCCCGCTAGGAGCAATTTCACGTTGCAATTCCTTCCGTAAATGACGTGCGCCGCGTGACGAAAATCTTATTCCGACCGGCAATGGCGTAATTAGTATTTTCGGAGATTTACGACGCACAGTTCGCGCCTCTCGTTAATAGAAAATTTCAATTTTCCATTTCCAGATGTGTACTGTGTGTTTTATTTGTGCGGCATAATTGGGTGTAAAACAAATCACGAAATTGCTTGAAATATCATGAAAACTCATTACAGTAATGTACTTTTTTGAAATCATCAGATGTCAATATTTATGTGATATCTTTTTGGCATATAGTATTCTTTGTAAAATAGATTATCGTGTGCTTGGCCTTTAAACGCGTAGTGAAATTAAAATTGTGCTAAAGAAACGTAAGAAGTGCCCGATGCATTACGAAACTGTCATCTTCGTAATTGCTGCGCGCGGCAGAAGAAACAGTTGACGTGTAATTATTTCTCGCATCGCGGGTAGTTATACATTTAATGATGATACGAATACATGGTCGTCATCCGATCACGAATAATGATATCGCGGCTATGCTGACGCAGCGACAATTCGCGTGAAACTCGGATTACGCACGCATTTGATAGCTGCTTCGAAAATTATTCGGGGAAAACTGTGCGCGATTTGCGCGACATTGTTACATCGATTTCTCGCGATGGAGTATCGTGTCAATAACAAATTGCATTGCAACACGCTGTTTGTGCATGCTACTTATCACACAATTATCACAGAAATCGCGTCACAAATGCTGGAGTAACTCAAAATATATTAAATTTATGAAAAATAACAGGAACGTCGCATTCGGCAAGGAGAGAGATTATATAATAATTTATTTTTATCATTTCGACTATTGCGATAACTCTGAAAATTTCGCTTTCCACGTATCGTTATAGCAACAACTCACCTTATTTAGCTGATTTCACTTTTAAAAGAAATCTATCCGCAACACGATTGTGTTTTATACAAATGGCACAGTAAAATATAATCGAAGAGCACTCGATATATGCAGTTTTTATGCGCCTTTTTGTCTTGTCTTCAATCTTTATTTTGATAAGATGATTGAATTGTCTTGCTTTTTCCAGCACTTTATTAGAAGAAAATTTTAATGATTTTTTATCTCACTCATTAGTGGATTCACAAAATACGCCACTAACAATAAGTTCGGGTGTTACGCAATAATCTTGAATTTATTCACAAATATTTTTCATCGCACGTTTCGCGAATGTTGCATTTCAATCAAATACCTCGATCCTAATAGTTTAATTGCAGTTTTAGGTCGAAAATATCCAAAATACAAAATCGATAATTATTTGATTTGCGTCTTAATGCGCCATCGTTGTCTGCGAATAAATCGCGAACTCCGGAACTTCGATTGCACACCCGAACGTTCACTTCCGGTCCATTGCCTCGCAAAGGCGAAAAAAGGAGCAGGATGATTTCGTGCCGATTGCACCGCGAAGGATCTCACGAACAACCGCCGAGCGAGGATCTAGTCGAGCCGCGACTAAGTTCGTGCGCAATGTTTTCATTCAGCTGTCGCCGACTGTCCCGGCTCTCATTAACAAATCGCGTTAATTATGGCCTCCCTTATCAGCTGGCGCGGCGATTGGACGGCCGCGTGGACGTAGTGGGACGGGTTAAAACCCAAGCGGCACCAATCAGGGTAGGCTGGTGCCCGGTTTGATCGGGTATCGGGGCACCGCGAACGAGAAAATAACATGTTTGGCTCTGTCGGCAGGGCTTAGAAATCGAAATCGCCTCGGCCCCGCTTTTCTTTTTACTCCTCTCGCTTGCACCGGCGGCCGGCTGACCGGCGCGATACATCGTGAGAGCGCTCATTCATAGGGTGGTCGAGAAGTTCGAACCGCTTCGAATTCACATGGAACTCGGATTGTTAATTAACTGAGGCGACTGACGTGATCGATTATCGACGGTAACATTTACTTATTCGTGAGACAGATAATAAACGAGAGATTCATATAATGATGCGATAATTATTACACGCATTAGATACATTTTACAAAAAAATTTAAACACAAATGAAAATTCTGCAAACTTGAACTTCTGCTTGTTTGTTGCACGAGTCAAAATCCGTCATTTTATACTTTATTGCGAGCTCTGCGTCTTGAAATAAAAAAGTTAACATTGAATAAGATTTGAGTTGTCCCGCGGTGCTAGATGAACAGATAGATAAGATGCTTTGGAAGTTTTACAAGTATAATTCGAAATAATCGCGGGTCAAAAATCTGTTCTCGTGAAAAGACACCGAGTCGACAATTGGACGATGCCATCTAAATATATGTAGATACATGAAGAGAAGTCAAACGTGCATTTTTACAGTAAAAAGCGAAGAAAGATATTTCAACGATCTGAGTAAACAGCTGCAGGCTCAATCCGATCTATAAATTGCGTATAAAGAATTAAAAAAAAAATATATAAATACTAACTTTATACAAATTATCATACAGATTATCATGAAGACTGTTTAAATCTTTTCCCTTTCTCCCTTTCACATTCATTTATTTTCAAATCGCTAACTTATACCCTTCTCAAAATAATCAATTCAAATAAATACGAAGTCACGTCGATTCGTTTAGTTATCTGAATCGTGGCACCGCATCGCTGGAGTCATTAGTCTAAGGTTATGTTAATTTCCTCCCCCGTTTAAAGCTAGTCACCC